AAAAAACAGTGCTCATAGTCATAATGATTGCATGTTATATGATATTTACCAGGTATAATGTTTACCATTTTCACAGTGTTGGTTTAGAGTGTTAGAATGCTAACATTTGCTAAGTAGCACACAAAGTACAGCTGACGCTGAAGGGAATGTCACTAATTTTGCTGGTATTTCGGGGTTAAGTTGTATTTATTTACACTCACCTAAAGGATTATTAGGAACACCTGTTCAATTTCTCATTAATGCAATTATCTAATCAACCAATCACATGGCAGTTGCTTCAATGCATTTAGGGGTGTGGTCCTGGTCAAGACAATCTCCTGAACTCCAAACTGAATGTCAGAATGGGAAAGAAAGGTGATTTAAGCAATTTTGAGCGTGGCATGGTTGTTGGTGCCAGACGGGCCGGTCTGAGTATTTCACAATCTGCTCAGTTACTGGGATTTTCACGCACAACCATTTCTAGGGTTTACAAAGAATGGTGTGAAAAGGGAAAAACATCCAGTATGTGGCAGTCCTGTGGGCGAAAATGCCTTGTTGATGCTAGAGGTCAGAGGAGAATGGGCCGACTGATTCAAGCTGATAGAAGAGCAACTTTGACTGAAATAACCACTCGTTACAACCGAGGTATGCAGCAAAGCATTTGTGAAGCCACAACACGCACAACCTTGAGGCGGATGGGCTACAACAGCAGAAGACCCCACCGGGTACCACTCATCTCCACTACAAATAGGAAAAAGAGGCTACAATTTGCAAGAGCTCACCAAAATTGGACAGTTGAAGACTGGAAAAATGTTGTCTGGTCTGATGAGTCTCGATTTCTGTTGAGACATTCAGATGGTAGAGTCAGAATTTGGCGTAAACAGAATGAGAACATGGATCCATCATGCCTCGTTACCACTGTGCAGGCTGGTGGTGGTGGTGTAATGGTGTGGGGGATGTTTTCTTGGCACACTTTAGGCCCCTTAGTGCCAATTGGGCATCGTTTAAATGCCACAGCCTACCTGAGCATTGTTTCTGACCATGTCCATCCCTTTATGGCCACCATGTACCCATCCTCTGATGGCTACTTCCAGCAGGATGCACCATGTCACAAAGCTCCAATCATTTCAAATTGTTTTCTTGAACATGACAATGAGTTCACTGTACTAAAATGGGGTCAAACACAGTATTAGCATGGTGTCCCTAATAATCCTTTAGGTGAGTGTATAATTTCACTTTTATGACTGTACAATGAAATAGAATCTGTAGTAAATGCTCCGTATTTGTATAGCGCCTTTCTAGTCTTTTCGACTTTTTACACTACATCTACATTCACCAGTCATACACATTCATACACTGGCGGAATAGCCGCCAGGGGCAATTCGGGGTTCAGTATCTTGCTCAAGGACACTTCGACAAGCAACCAGGGGGAGCCAGGGATCGAGCCACCGATCTTCCGATTAACGGACAACCCGCTCTACCACCTGAGCCCACACACACACACACACACACACACACACACACACACACACACACACACACACACACACACACACACACACACACACACACACACACACACACACACAGAAAACTAACAAACAAAAACCCAGAGCACTATTATTTGTGGAGTGCAGGGGATGACTTGAGGAATCTCATAACTTGAGGAAAGAAGCTGCTCTGAAGTCTGGTGGTACGACAGCAGATACTTCAGTATCTCTTGCCAGACGGTAGCAGGGTGAACAGGCTGTGGCTGGGGTAGGAACCATCTTTTAGTATCCTTTGGGCTTTCACCAGATGCTGGATGAAAAGTGAGATAAAAGTTATTACAATTCAGCCTCTGGGGACCATGAATGTGTGTACCAAGTTTCACAGCAATTCGCCTAATTGTTGTTAAGATATCACAATAAATAAATAAAGTCCTATATGGTGGAGCTAAAACAAAAGTTAGATCACCAACATCATTACAATGTATCTTCTGGGGTCCTTGAATATCTGTTGAAAATTTTATGACAATCCATTTAATAGTTGTTAAGATATTGAGATATTTTCCCAAAAGCCAGAAAAGTCAACCTCATGGCGACCCTTGAGGAAAAGTTAAGGGTTCACCAGAGTCTGCAGGATTCCTCCTCGGGCGACCATCAGTGTTTGTACATAATTTTACAGCAATCCATCCAATTCAGTTTTAAGTATAGCGCCAAATCATAACAGAAGTTTTCTCAAAGCACTTTCCATATAGAGCAGGTCTAGACCGTTCTCTTTAAAAGTTGTTAAGATATTTCAGTCTGGAACAAAGTGGAGGACCGACCAACTGACCAACAGACTGGCATTGCCAACCCGAAAAAAAACTCCACACAAAAAGAACCTCGGGAGGAATAATGGGAGGAGGTGTCCCTCTCCCTGTGTCAAAGATAATATCATCACTGTCCCTTGAAAACCATGTGTCAACTTTTCATGAGCCAAGTAAGAAAAACAACCTTTTTCAGCAATGTGACAATACCATTTTTAGATAATCCTTCAGGTTCTTAAAGAGTTTGTTTTGCTTAAGAAGTGGGAGAATTATATTCACTCATAAAGGAACATTTAATACTTCAATTTACCACATTTGCAGATACATGATTTTATTGGACAGCAATGATAGGAAATTTAAATCAAGTACAGAGTGTACAAGAAGAAGATAAGTACACAGAACTAACTAAAGCTGCTGTAAATTAATTGTAGTGAAGTAAAAAGTATAATATTCTTTTTTGAAATGTAGTGGAGCAGAACTATAAAGTAACATGAAAAGCTGAAATAAAGTACAAGCCCCTCAAGTACTGTACTTTAGTAAAGCTACTTATCACCACTGGTATTTAGCCAGGCAGTGAGATAACGACACTGGGCCTGGACATGTAAGAAGATAAGTGCAGCACAATGTATTAGAGCTGAAATTATTCATTGATTAGTCTGTCAACAGAAATGTAATTGGCAACTTTTTTGTTAATATATTACTCATTGTAAGTTAAAAAAACAAATCAAGAAACATTCTCTGGTGCAAATGTCTTAGTTGTAAGGATTTTCTTCTTTACTTCATCTTATGTAATTGTAAACTGAATATCTGTAGGTCAAACAAACCAATCTGAAGGTGCTATTTTATAGACCAAACAATTAAACAAGAATAATAATCTGCAAATTAATTAATAATCAAAATAATGATTAGTTGCTGGCCTACACTGTATATTAAATTGTAGTATAGTGTCTTTTTAACCATTCCCTTTTAGTCAGTAGCTTTTCAACATACCTTAAAACACTATAGTTGAAGTATTGAGAGTAACAAGCATTGACAGTATGCATCTTTAGGAAGCATCCCATGTGTTAAACTGACATGTGTCACACTAAATTAATGATACTGGATACTGAAGCAGGCCTCCCCTCTTAACATCTGTGTCCCCAGTCTGACCTTGGGCTTCCTCAAGGGATCAGTGCCATGTGTCCCCTCAGCTGTGGAGAATTAAAAGAGAGACAGAAAGCGGATAAGAGGAAAGGGAGTGAGAGTCTACTTGGCATGTATCTTATGTTCAAAGGCTTAATTCCCTTACAATAGGCATGTGATTGACATTTGTGTCTGCATGGGGTAAATGGGACATATATGTATATTCCTGGAGTTGGAGTTGGGTGGGAGGTGTGTGTGTGTTGGGGGTTGATAGTGGGTGTGATGGCTAATCTTGCATCCCGGCGGTTTTGATCCTTTTGACTGGTAAGAGATGAGGGCATGGTGCCTTTATGTCTCTGGCATCAGCTGCTCTAAGTCTGAGCTTAAGAAGGGAGATCCGGTATAAGAGTGAAACTTCAAAGACTGTGTGCCTGAAATAGCGCAGGAAAATGGCTGGCGCATGAGCACACACATGTTGTACTTGTTGCTCATCTGATCCTCCATAAGGTGCATTTATGACATCAGAAATAGTCATACAAAACATATCCAAACTTGAAAATTTGTTCTAGTTTCAAAAATGCTGAACAGCTTTGGCTCACATTGCCCTCTGCTGCTAGACAATCAGAACAGCCCAATTCTCACTGAAGATACTGGACAGTAGCCTTGACCAGACTTGTTTACTTGATATGTATTGTATTCTCAGATGATTTTAAGTTGTTGGGGCCCGGTATCTCTTTATTTATGTTTATTTGTTATGTTTGCTCTGCTATTAATTGTGTGTATCAATTTTCTTGTTGAGCACAGTAATACTCAGCATCTGAGCTCTGGATATAGCTTTCCATATATATTAAAAAGTCATGCTATCTCAGCCTCTGCTGCATCAGTTTGGACTATTTGATGATAAATCTGCCTCTCGGAGTCCCCTCCCCCAGTGTAAGAAAGTGCATAACTAAATAGCTGGAGTAAACTTTTAAGTCTCTAAACCTTTAAACATGCCTGTGATTAAGGCCAGAAAATTAATTAGCTTGATATTTATTTTCAACAAACAACCTGAAAACTTTTTAATTTAAACATTTAATTTTTACTACTAACAAATATTGTCTGTGTTGCAAAAACCTTATATTTCTAATTCCTCTGTGCCACAGACATCCATTTTTGTCCAGAATCTATTAAAAACAAATCAATCAGCCACACCATTGTGCTCGATTACATATCCCTATATTACAATGAACATGGGCACAGTCCTTTATTTTGAGCTAATCCCACATACACTTAAATACTCATTACAGCACCAAATGAGTATTAATCCATAGTCAAAAATAGTCCCCCAAAATGTAGTATTTACTCCTGTTGAAGAAACAATACATTTGTGACCAGTTTCTTGTTTAAAGTAGGAACAAATGTGCAAGGGGCAGGATAGGAAGGATAGTTTGGGAAGTATAAGAGGGATGGATTAATGCATTATTGGTATTTTAATGGGATTTGTTAACAATAATAACAATGTAGAATAATATCAGAATTATCCTTTAAATGTTCAAACACACATTACAAATGTGCAACAGCAAGTAAATATAGAAGCAAAACGACCAGTCAATTGAAGACACAGAAGTCGTATGTGAGAAAGAGCAGACCTTTATTCAGCACTGTTTTTATTCCAATGTTTTCAAAGGAGAGAGCAAGGAGAAGATTGTTTCAGTTCAGAGAATCAGTTGAAGGTGAAAAGGGAAGGAATGAGGATAACATGTACAAGAATATTTTTTTGTTGTCATTTTTAATTTTTTTTCTAGCAACAAATGTTCATAATAGGAAAGTACACTCAGTAAAAGCTGGTTACTGCTTGTATTTTCCGATGGTGAGCATTTTGTGCTACAGTACTATTGATCGGGGAAAAGCACCGCGACCATACAGCTTTGACCATTTTTCTTGTCTCATATTAATGTAAGTAAGCTCTTACATCAGAAATCATCTGTTTAAAGAAAAAATCTAAGCAAACAATAAAACTTACTTATCTTTCACTTTTGGCCCTGAATGCATATAATTTACAAGTCTTATTCTGAACAAGCCATCTTTTGAAATACATACTGTTAGTCATGTGATTTCAACTTCTATCCCACTCTCATGAAATACTGTTGTTTTAAGTACTTCATACATGATTGATTTATTTAGCATGAGGCAAGATTTTAAATTTACTTTTCCACTCATTCCAGTTGTTGGGCATGTACACTATCACGCTGCTGTATAACAAAATGACCAAAATCTGGCTAAATCCTAGCATTACTTTTGGAGAGCTTCACAGCAGCAGTGTAACCCAAGATATTGACTTTAAGTCCTTTTTAAAGGAAAAAGAGAAAAGGTCAGGGAAAGTGGTAAGTCATCTAAGATCTGTCTACAATGGCAAAGGCAGAGGACTGCACCAAATGAATGCATGTAGCCTGCATTCATTTGTTTCAAGCACAACTATTTTAAGAAGAAGCTAGTAGCTGTCATACTTTAAATCTCTAAAAATGGAGCCTCACAACTGAACAACACTCACTGTTTTGAGAAAAAAAAACACCAGAACAGAAGCAATGACAAATAAAGATGAGGCAAAGCACAATGTTTCTTTGCAGATCAGGAAGTGAAACGCTGCATGTGGGAGACAAACGGCAGAAGTCCTATTCAGCCAGCTCCTGAGCGTGGCTTTTGTTCTGCTTCGTCCACTCTGTTGAAAAACGGGGCTTTACCTGCAAACCCCACAACACCAGCAGACTCCAGCAGAACCATGAGGTAGATCACTGGTCAAACTGACCACAAGAGAAAATAAAAAACCCTCCTAAACGATGTCCACTGGGTGTAAAACTTGTAATTTCATAAAAGTACGGCTCTTGTGTTGTCACGTCTTGAAGTTAAAAAACAAAAAAGAAGAGGGAAAATAAGCAATTACCTTGCTCTGAGTTTGTCACTGTTCTTTTCTCTCAGTATTGCCGTGGGACTCTCATTGTCTTTATTGCTACCAGAAGACTAGATAGCGAAACACTCAATGAAATCTCATGATTTCACACACACTTTTGATCAATCAGAAATATGACACCTGATCAAGTTTGATGAAAATGTTGAAGTGACGTAAGGAAGGCACCTTTTCCAATATTAAATTCATTCATTTCCTGATGAAATGGTCAACTGTATCAGCTGTCAAGTGCAGCTGAACATTAATTGATTTTGTAAGCTATTTTGTAACAACTTTGATAAACAAAATTAAGCCATTCTGAAACTTTAAACTTCAGTGCAAACAATGTTTTGCAAGGTTTTTTATATATCTCAAATAAAGGAACTATAAAATCATAGAAACCTTGAAGGGGGAAATATCTCAATCTCATGCATTTTAATATCACATCATACTGGGGGGTGGAGAGTGGAGGGATGGGCTGTCCTCTGGCATTTGTTTGAGAATCCTTAAAAATAGAGAAAAAGAAGAACATGTGGTTTCTTATCAAAATAAACCTTGTTTTTTTTCTCTGTGATTAGCCAACTGCTCAAGTCCATTTACACTGTCCTCATTTTCCACCACAAATGTCGGGGCTGTGCAAAAAAGTTCATGTATCTGGTCCAATAAGAGAAGGCGGCGACTGTTATTGTGATGTCATCAGCAACCTCCCACCTGCCCTCTGGCTCACAAAGCAGTAATCTAGCCTAAAAATAATGACACAAAAAACAGAAGCATTGATTTAAAAGCATTTACTAATGTGAACAGCAATATTAGGATTTTTTTTTTTTAAATCTGATTTGTTTCGAAAATCTGATCAGACTATTATTATTAGTAATATTTGTATATGTCTCACAACTTGTTTGGAAGGGATTTCTAAGAATTAGAAATTAGAATAAAGGTTTTATAAACTGTAACTTTCTACAACCTGGTAATTCTTAATGGATTACAACTGATCTATAAAGGCTTAGTAACTGATTCATTAACCTTTAACTAAAGAAATAAATTAAAACATATAAACCCTTGGTGTCTTGCTAGAAAGTAGTACCATTACGTCTATCATGTGGCAGTAAAGTTGCTGAAATAAACAGCTTGCTGGTGTTCACGTCAGACGGTTTACATTTAGAAACTATTGCATACCTGTGATTACTTGCTGAGTTGACTGTAAGGAGATGAGTTGTTGGAAGAATCCACTTGCTGCGGTGCGCCGTTTTCCTGAAAAGCAAAACAGCATCTCTCATTTAGAACGTGATAATAACTATCTTCACTGTGTTTGCACTGAGATAATTGATAGTTTCAGAGGAGGAACACTTCAAAAACAATTCAAGGCTTTATGAATGGAAGATGATTGGATTGGCATAGGCTATTGTAATCTTCTAAAACAATTATTGTTTTAAGATAGATAGACAGTTAAATGGCCACCAGGCAGAAGCTGAATGTCTTGAATGAAGAGTTGAATGAGACTACAATACAATAAACTTACAGGTGCTGTCTGCATGGGAGGATACTGATGCATGTAAGCTCCCTGGACACCAGGGGTAGCTGAAATATACTGTAAAATAAGAAAACAATCAAATTCAAGTAACTGAATGGTATATTGATTTATTGTACTAAAACTTGATGCCCTTAAATCACCATAAACATGAAATGGACTTCGTCTCACCTAAATAACATAGCAAACAAAGTCATTTTTATCTTTAGGGAGACCAGTGAACCTGCCTGTTTCTACAGCTAATGCTAATGTACCTGAACTTAACTGTGCACACAGAAGTATTCAGCTTTTATTTGAATTCTGTTCTGTTTTTCATCATCATCATTTGTATCAGGAACAATTTGTGCTGGGTGTCATGAATATTACAAAATAAAACAGTCAATCAATCATACGTCCATGCAAAATGTTCCAATTAAAGAACTCACATTCGCAAGTCTATGTGTCAGCATTGTCATACTACAGACTGTATAAACTGAAACTAAGATCTCTCTATCATACTATACAGATTTAATTCAATTCAATGCTGTGTGTGTGATGTAGGATATCCCAGAATTCCACTCACTGCTCCAGTGTTCCCCAGTGACAGCTGACCCATCTGCTGAGTAATCATGGCTGAGGGGTGCAGTGACATGGATGGATCCACAGAGGGAGACATCACAGCACCCTGTAATACAAGGCAGCTGAGTTTTTACCACATATCACGTGATTTTACACACAACTAATTCTGATAAAATACCAAATATATGCTGCAACAACTGGCAGGCAGTTATTGTTGGATGTGTGTATGTATGTAGGACAGACCATACGAAAGATTAGATGGAGGGGGGAGAGATTTTTTGTGGCTTTGAGGTTTGACAAAATGTAAAATAATAAATTTGCAGCATCAGCTCTGTGATAATATGTTACTCTGAGGTAAGCATTAAGTATTCTATGGTTCTGGGTAATGTTAAGGGCTGAAAATATGTAAAAGGTATGACATTGCCAGCTCTAGTCTGTTTTCAGATGGAGTATATTCCTTTAAACATGACGCCTTTAGGGAATTTCCTAGTAAAAAGTGGGGGAAGGGGCAGATCAGCAGAGACACTTGTTCCACTGGAAACCATCTGTTGGAAGAGTCAAAGAGTCACAAGACTGTCTCTGCTCCAGGCATTTCCTGCTGGATCCACAGGGAGGGTGAGGGGGTGGGGCCAAATGTCTTTTTAGTTGTTCCATTTCTGTTTTATGCACACTCTGAGACACACATACACACACTTACAATATGTAAATATGCTGTGGCTATTTCCCAGAACTTGTCTCAGCTCTGTGCTACTCCTACATTTGGGGAAGTTTTGGACGCTGTTGATTGTGTCAGCAGAACAAGCTGATTAAAGTAACACACTGAGCAACTGTGAGCTCAGAGCTTTAGCTGCAGCGGCGCCACACACCCATTTCCTGTACACAGAATAGGAGGGTATGAGCCTATGAATAAAAAAAAAACGAAGCAAATGCTGGTTTTCCCTTACCGGGTGTTGCATGATATACGGCTGATGTGCCACCCAAGAATGACTCTGTACCTGATGGAAGGGACAGAGAGGGAGAGGCAGAACAAGAGACAGATGGAAAGAGAGAGTTACTGACGTGTCGTGAATGGAAATTTTATGTTCAAAACTAACTTAACAATTGCAATACGCATTGTTTTTAAATAGAAATACAAGGATGTTATCAATCTACAATAAATAATAATGCAACCGCAATTCACTGTATCTGTTTTGGAGCCACTATTCCTGCTCGGAGACCTTGGTTCACCATGACAGCCCAATAAAGATTTTTAGGGCCAATTTGGTTCCCTCTCTGTTGGTATGGCACTAAGGTGCTTCTAAACTACCACAATGACCCTAGCGGTTACAATGGCTTGCAAACCCCATGGATCTTACAGTTCTATCTCCTATTCTGAGAGTCTGATTGTCTGTCTGATTAGGCGTTAAATAAATGTGTACCTCTCAACAATAGCCACAGATTAGGTGAGCAATTTGACAACGAACCCTCCTGAGGTTCTCAATAGTTCCTTGTAGGGATATACTGTCAGCCTTTTACGAGCATGTCCGTTACTCTGGTTTTTGCAACTATAATAGCTGCAACCTTTTTCACTTAGGTCCACCACCTGTGCCAACCAAGTTTTGAAAGCTTCCCTTTTGTAGCTCTAGGTCTTCCCTCAGTGCTGCTGTCTACCAAAGGGCTCTTGGGATGGCTATGTGCAAAAGGTAGTTACCAGGTGCAATGGGCAGGACAAGGGAAGATGTAGGGGTTATGGATGTTTGCAGCACAAATTGGACAGTAGAATGAAGTAGAGGAGCTAGAGTTGGGAGATACAAAATCGATATGGTTGGACTCACTTCTCATAAAGCATTGCCTCTTAAACCAAACTCCTCCATAAACACGATGGATGTGACTGCTAGCTGCAGTCTGACTGGTGTCTGGGAGTGTGCGCTTAAATTATAAGCAAGTTTGGTCTTTGAGAAAACTTCCCCTGCTCTATAATCTAACAGGAACTCTTCAGTGTTCATACTGGCAATGAATAGGACACCTGGAGGGGAGTGCCTGAGAGGAACTGCCACCCCTCTCTGATTGAAAAGGTGAGCCTTTGTTAGAGTTTAATAATAGTTATAGATTGGTAAAAGAAAACCTCCTCATTCAAACACAAGAAAGCTCATACAGGAAGTGTTCACAGTACCAGAGCCCTTAAGGTGCCAGGTCGATGATCGACTTTGCAGTTGTTTCATCAAAGGTAAGCTCTCTACATGATGGTGATGTCTACCAGACAGACCTGGAAGACCCATGTTGTGGGTTCATCTGAAGAACATCTGGCAGAGGGCTATATTCATAAATCCTATTGTGTGTTGTAACCCTGCTAAACCAGACCCCTCAGATTCATCCCTCAAGTGCAAATTAATTTTAAGCTACAGCTCTCATTAGGGGGTGGTGCAGTGGTTAGCACTGTCGCCTCACAGCAAGAAGGTCATGAGTTCAAACCCCAGTTGCTCCGGCCTTTGCATGTTCTCCCTGTGTCTGTGTGGGTTCTCTCCAGGTGCTCTGGCTTCCTCCTAAAAGACATGCAGACTAGGTTGATTGGTGACCCTAAATTGTCCTTAGGTGTGAGTGGTTGTTTGTCTATGTGTGGCCCTTGCGATGGACTGGTGACCAGTCCAGGGTGTACCCTGCCTTTTGCCCAATGTCAGCTGGGATTGGCTCCAGCCCCCCACAACGCTATACGCATGATAAGTGGTTGACGATGGATGGATCTCATCAGGGGTCAGAAGCGTTTCTAGTCCACAGAAAGTACTGAATCAAAACTTATGAGTGTAATATTACAAAACAATGACCAAGAACCTGACTCAGAGAAGATTACTGTACCTGCTGAAAAGAGCAGGGGGGTTTTCTTCACTCCTGTGACCAACTAAGGCTACTGTCATGTTACATGATTTATGGTTGACCAAGCTCTTAAAACACTAAAACATTCAAAAGATTATCCACTGCCACGTGCAGCTGACAAAGCGTGAAGTGGCTCAGGGCAGCTTTAAAGCCTATTCTTACATCTGTAGCACCTGTACAATCCAAATACATACATGCAAAAATATACCCAAACCCACATATATACCCTATAACCTCAAATGCAGCATATAGGGGGAGAGAGATTTAAACTGTTAGAAAAGTTTATATTGGGGATCTTCTGCGGTACCTGGTAAGCAGAGACTGGAGACATGTAGGGAGACATTGTAGGCTGCACAGTCATAATCCTGTTGGTCACTGGATACGGAGAAGGATAGTACCTAGGAAAGAGACATCATTTCAAAATAAAGCTCAAGAATGACTGTAGTTAAAAGTAAAATGGTGTCATGACCTGCTATAACCTGAGTACAACTTACCCATTCTGTATGGCTGCTGAGGAGGGGTCATAGGTAAGAGTCATTGCACCCTAAGGTGAGGAAATAGGCAAAAATGTGGAATTACATATTTGCATCTCACGTGTCTTATAACAACTAAAATTACATATGAAAATGATCACTGAATCAGTTATAATGGGTTTATTTAACAAAAGACATACTGGAATGGTTGTAATTTTGATACGTTTAACTTAAAGCCTGGAAAAGAGAGCAAGGTGGACTATTTAATTAGTATTTACACTGATTTCTTCAGTATTATATAGTGCATGTGTTAAATATAACTAATAATAATAATAACTGATATCCATAATTTATTAATTCTGAATTCTGGTCTGAAGATTTGATTGGGAAAGTTATTGTGGTTCTGGCTTATATGACTTTAATGATGTTTTGTATGCATGAGAAAATAATAAAAACATAATTAATTCTCATCACATTAACAAGACGCATGGAGGGGGCAATACATTACAACACATGTAAGATGATAAGCAGATACATACTAGTCTGAGATCTCCTGTCTGTCCATTGGGAAGAAATCCGCCATGAGCATGTTTCTTCCTTTGACTGTCTGCAAACTTACACAGCAAGGGCTGAGAGGGAGCTGAGGGCAAAGAATAAAACAGTCACTCAGCAATCAATCAATCACCACCTCCACAGTTTTCATCACCAGGGAAGTGTATAGAATTATTTCTTACCCAGAGCTCCAGAAGATATCTTGATAAACTTCCCATTGAAGTGGGAGATGACAGCATTGCACTGCTCTGTTGTGTCCATCCTGTCAGGGAAGAAGATAAAACAACAGTGACTCATCATTAAATCACACAGAGACATTCTACATTACCATTTTGTTTAACACAAAATGGTATTGTGAGGCGTGACGCAAATTGGGACAACTCCTGAACGTACGTCTCAGCAAGTCGTCCCTGGTCTGTTTGCAAATGGTCCAAAAAGTTGCAAGGCTGTTGACGAGTCACATAACACCAATCCCTTCTTCATTGCACTGCCTCCATGTCATGTTCAAGGTTTAGTTTAAGGTGCTCGTTTTTACATATAGAGCCCTGCATGGTGAGTCCCCTGGGTACATCCCAGACCTGCTTCACCTGTATTCCACTACTAGGCCACTTAGGCCATCAAACCAGGGCTTAGTACTAGTTGTACTGTGTGCTCGACTGACTTGCTCTTTCCCCAGACCTACAGTATGCTCTGTGGTTTCTGCTGAAGCCTTTAAAAAACAACTGAAGACTCTTTTATTTAAGCTGTCTCACCATGTACTATTTAATGTGTGCAAATTATTCAGCTGTTATGTTGTTACTTATGTTTTGTTGATTGATTATTATTTATTACTACTTTACATTGTTGTTGTTTTTGTATTACTGGTATCTCTTATTAGGAGCTCTATTTTTAGGGATCCAAGCAGCGAAGCTGCTGGAGCCCTATTGTCTCATTATTCTTTCTTTCTTTCTTCTTTTTCTCTGCTAAAAGTGTTTGCAGCAAAAACTGCTGCACCAAAACTCACCAAAATTGGCAGGTGAGTTGCAAATTCCACCCACTACTCAGCCAAAAAAAATTGGCACTCATAGACCACATGGTGGCGCTATAACATGGTGGCCGTTTTAATTATGTGCAATTAAAACGGCTTTGTAGAGAGTATTTCATTCATCATTTTAATCTCTGGATTCATCTGCATCTTTGCTCCAAACATCTTCTGCTCTAAAACTATGCAACTTTTTATCACTTTTCTCTAAAACCTATTTTTGTGAACTCAGTTTCAGTTTCGCCAATCGACCTGAAACTTTGGCAGAATCATCTAAGGACATCGTTGATCAAAGGTTATCAAAATTTTGATACGTCAATCTGTTTTTTAAAATAATTTTTTACTTTTGTGTCTTTATGTACAATTTTTCATTAATACCTGTAAATCAAAATTCGCTTAAGCAATTACTAACTTAGTAACCAAACTTGACCCTTCTGTTCAAATGCTTGGACCGAGCTTCACTGAGCAGTCCTGGGATATTCTTTCACTAGGGGGCACTACTCTTGCAAAAAGTTTATACCTCATAATTCGCGGCATGGATTTGTACAAAATTCGGTTTGTACGATCAAGGGTCACTACTCAGTTGATGCATAAAATTTGGTAATGATTGCTCAAAGTGGGCGTGGCTTATTACAACAAATGTAAATTTCCAGACATTTCTCATTCCAAACTTCAATAAATCTAAGAAAATCACCCGTATGTATGACATTTTTTCAGCACATCCACTGATATGTGACAACGTTTGCCTCCTGCAACCTATGGTCAATTCAGAAGTCAGTCACTGTATATTTTTCATAATGTGCTAATTCTATTAACATCTGTATCTCCACAAGTCTTTCTTTAAACGTTACCAAAATCGACACAGATATTCTCTAGATGGCCGATATCAACTGTATCAAAGGGTTTTTAAATTGATCAAACAGTGAGTCTGTAGTGATATTCAGCCTAAACAGCTTCTCACCAGTGGCTCAGTCTGTAAGTCACCTACTCTGGAGATCTGAAGTTTGAGGGTTTAAATCCCCAGTTGAACAAGTCAGAATTGTTGACATACAGGGTGTTCAGATCATAGTGAGTTTAAGTTCTCTATTTTATTTGGATCCAGTGCTTCTTATTCTTCTCTGCTAAAAAATGTTTGTGCAACGTAAACTTTAAAACTTTGAAACACAAAATGTCACAGGTGGGTTGAACATTTCAACCCGTAGTCCGGTACATATAATGACACTCTCTGATCTCAAGGTAATGCTGTAAAAATCAAGTTTGCGTTTCTGCAATTATCTCAAAGTGCAAATTCTTTCATCACTTTAATCTCTTAAGTCATCTGCATCTGTTCTTCTCCTCTGAAAATGTCATATGTTGCATTTTTCATGACTTGCTTGGATCCCGATCATTGCCATTTTTTATATATGGTTTTATTATTTGACTTCGGTAAAGCACTTTGTGACTTGCTCTGTGAAAGATGCTATATTAAATAAATGTTACTTACTTACTTATTGTACAGACAACATGACTGACTCAAGTTAATACATCTGACAGTCAACTGAAAGATTGAGTGTGAAGTGTGAACTTGGTTGCTTTAAAATTGCAATAAAACTCAACCTCTGGCGATTTTTTTGTGTTATATGATGCCAAAAACCATAATAATAAAGAATTGGTGGCACTTTTTCACAACATTTTATTTTTAATAAATCTTCACTGCATTTTAGTTTACCAATGATTGCGCTTGAACAGTAACTACACTAAAATGATTTGAATGGTAATTTGGTGTTTGTTTATTATTGATCATCATAGGTTTGTGATGAAAGCTGTAGGTTTATTCTACAACTTCTTTAAAGGTGATTCAACAGAGAAGAAATGAGCGCTCCTTTCTGTCAATCTTCTGTGACTGACCTGGCGAAGCCCACGCCTCGGCTATTGCCACTGTAGTCTCGAAGGATCCGTGTGGAGACGACCTGGCCGAAGGGCTGCAGCATGTTCTCCAACTCTTTCTCATCCACAGAGAGAGGCAAGTTGGAAATGTACAGGTTTGTGGGGTCCTGCTCCTGTTGCTGCTCACATGAAAGATGAAGTAAAATGAGAAGTATATTGAATGCCAGGTGCTTTATAGTATATTTTACATGTGACATGTCACCTGAGAGAGAGCCACATGCTAAAATGTATTAATAATTTCCTATTAATCAGGCACAATTTGTATTGAACCACTATAACCATTAAAACAGTGTTGAGCTATTTTGGCACTGAAAAATGAAAGACTGACACAGTAGATTTTTCTCTGCAATGAAACTTGTCTGTGTGGATCAAGATTTGAGGCTCAGCTTAAGTGTGGTTAAGGGTCAGAGCAAAACATTTGGTTAAACAAACATTAATAAGCTCTCCCGCACATACACATGACCACATACACAAACACACTTCAACAGTGCTGTGCAGCAGCTCAGCGCCTCTATGGTCTTCCATAGAAACAGCAGGCGAGCAACGTAGCCTAGCTACCACAACACACAAACTGTGTTCTGCCATGTTTGTTCCAAACAGAACAGCTACATGCAGGTCTCCAGAGAGTAAACCTTCATCAATGAACTCTCACCATCAATTTAAGCACAGCGACACAGGCCAGGCTGAGAAAGGGAAGCGACTCAAAGAAATGTAATGAGCTAGGCAATTTCCACTGCCCGCTACAAGATAAGATGCACAAACACTGTGTTTGTTAAAAAATATTTTTGAAAAATGAAAAACTGGACTACTTTACTTTAAATTAGTCACAGAGGGTCAAGAATGGCTTAAAGCAGCAGTACTGTTGCTATAGTGCTTCGGTGGAGATCTGCCTACATTAGTTTGCATGAATGATAATTGTTAACACTCAGTGACATAGTAATAATACTGGTAAAAAATCTGTACAATCTATACAGTGCAACACAATCAAGATGTTGTGTGTGGGCTGCTGGTCCTGTGTGTAATGTGTCACTCTGACTGACAGGTTATTTGGCAGAGAGAGACATGACATCTGGTTTCTACAGTGAAAGTAAATGGGGTCACAGGAAGAACAGCTTGTCAGCTGAGGTCATGTGACCAGTCTAATGTCTCTCCAACACACACAGGACAAATGCACTCATTAAAGAAGCACAAGCCCACAGAGATGTTCACAAGCAAGACAAATACGGGCACACACACACATGCCTGCATCAAACTCACCTTGGCCATCTGGGCCTGTATGCCGCTGGTTTTCAGAGCATGTACTGCCTTTAAAGCAGCCGCTGGGCTGTCAAAGTCCACAAAGCCGTAACCTGTAGTTGGCGGAACAGTATTTACTTGAACAGTCATTAATAATAAGAACAACCACCTATTTTAAATTTTGTACTATCACTAATACTGTGGGATGGGTAATATATATTGGTCTATATTATTTATTACTGTAAACATATCACAATATCTTTTGTCAACCAATCATGACAATATTTTAAAAATCAGATGTCTCACTGTGTGATTGCTGAAATATTTTACAGGTATAGTTCAAGTTATCATGTGTCTGTGTGGTAATTATGTAGCTGGAGCTAGCAGCGAGTTAGCTTAGCTTAGCATTATGACTGGAAACTGGTGGAAACAGCTAGCCTGGCTCTGTCTAAAGGTTAAAAGATCTGCTTACCTGCACCTTTATTGCACATCAATTAACACATAATATGTTGTAGGTTTAATCTGTGCAAAACCAAAAGTATATAAATGACAACTTGACAACTGCACTATTTATTTCAAGTCTTGACCTCAACATGTTAAACTATTCATTTAAGAAACAAATCAACATCTATCTCTAACTTGATTTGTGACAAAATACACATACTTTGCATGCCTTTTCCCATCAACCAGTCACTCACTGGTTTTCATTCATTTACATAAGGTGCTAAAAACCAGTTTGTAGAGACTCTAAACCTGCTTGAGTCAGATAATCCATTAATATCTGCTTTTGTTTTTGTCAGATTTTTATTAGCGTTGCATTGGAATGCGGTGAAGACTTCATCCATCTGCGTCTTCAGCTTCAATGTCATACAACAACATAATACATTTCACAAAAATAAAAGCAGACACATTCACTGTTCATGTTCACGGTGATGGAGTACCCAGCCCGAGCAAGTATCAAGTCGCTTTGAATGGATTTTCATACACTTTGGAAATGACTGAAAAGTAGGAGCCTGGAAAGTATGGAAATTCATTCAAAAATCTAAAACAACATAGTATGTTTTCATAACTTCTGCATGCATGTTATATAAGTATGCCTAAAATATAGCACAACATGCAATCACACTTTATAATGTCAGCTGAACACAAGAGCTACGTTGATGGCCCAACTAAACAATTTATCAGGTGAGTCTCAATACTCCAACATGCAGCAGAGATATGTCCCAGTGCTGGATGAGGATTTCAGTTATATTGTTAAATATACTTTCTTTTTCCTAATCGTGCATCCCAGATAAATGATTGGTAAGTTAATAACCTTACTGACCTTTACATTTGTTGGTTGTCTTGTCCAGGATTGCCTTTGCTGACTGAATCTTGCCATACCTGAACATCAACATGCAGATTAGTGTCTGATAACTGATAACTGATGATAAGTGTATGAAAAAGATGCATCAACTGGTGATCTTTTTTTTGTCAAAATGTCTTGGACTACTCAATATTTTCTCAAATTTCTCTGTTTCCATTTCTACAGGAATTTGTACAGAGCACCTTCACTCATCCTGACAGTCTAGTGAGATCAAAACTAAACTTAAACACAAGCAGAAAGCACAATTTATGAAAATAATAAATACTCGTCATATTCATGGTGATACTTGGTAAATTTCAGAGGCACATACTGTACATCACTACTCTCTCCTACATGTTTCCAAACACTATGGATTCAATTTCCGTGTTTCAGGCTTTGCTTTATCTCTGACTATATACTCAAGTTGAACTGTGGCACAAGCTGTGAGCTGCTATCTGAGTGCACACATCATACAGACTGAATGCCTAGCTTACATCACCATTCAGACCTTGTTGCTATGAAAAGCGCTTTCATTTCTGCTTTGTGCTGGCAAACACCACTGGGAACATGAACAAAACACAAGCAAACAGGACACAAACAGCTGCTGCTGCTGCTGGTTACATGGGTGAATGCCTTTTTCCATATGCTTGTGATTCAGAGGGAAAGAGAGGAGACAAAACTCCACTAATTATGGCATCAACCACACTAAGCACTCAGAATGAAGCCTCAGTCAAGCCTAGTATCAAGTATCGTAACATGTTCAGTGGGCTGCTTTACATGACTCTGATTTTTTCTTTTTTAGAAACCAATAATTTTTATAGTGTGCTTAATATACCATAGTTGAGCTATGACTTTTCCATGTGTGTGTCTGTTTATAGAGGTATGGTGGTTAGAGCTTTTTATATGTCAGCGCACAGTTAAACCAGTGTTTTTGAATGATAACACTGATATGTTTGCATTCATAGAGCAGACACTCAGTATACATCTTTATCTATGCAAACTATTTCCTTTTATTTAGTACGTTTTCTCAAAGTCTCTTCTTATCAAGAAGGAAGCCCATCAGAAACAAACTTTTTTGAGTTACTTAAACCGTGTTGAAACCCAGAGTAATGACTTTGTTTGCATTAAAAACTTTTTTTTGACATTTTGGGAAATAAGTTTTTTTATTTTCTTGCCAAGTTTTGGAAAAAAGGTACAACTCTCATATCTGTACGGTAATCATGAGGATTAGCATGGTTCTGTCAGCTAGCATAACTATGCCTAATTTTACCAGCCCTTGAAAATTTGTAAATTAACATTACAAAAACTGAACCTAAGCTAAGCTAACAATCTCCTGGCTGTAGCTTCATATTTATCATACAGACAAGAAAACTGCATCAATCTTCTCATCTAACTCTTGTCATGAAAACAAATAAGCGTATTTCACAAAATGTTGAAATTTTCCTTTAAATTAAAAATGAATTTACATTTACTTTTTTTGTAATTTGATACACTATGTGCCTGTGGTCAGGGTGAGACCTTCATCAAATGTGTACTCACTGGTGACAGAGTTTGACTAGGTCGAGGTCTGTAGTAGCAGGAGGCAGGCCGCGGATGTAAAGGTTGGTTTTGCTGAGCTGCTCCAGACCTGTGGTGCTGCTGTTGCTGCTGCTGCTGGGACTGGACGGAGTCATGGGGTAGGACTGCACACAGGAAGCCCACTGTTAGGTAGTGTGTGGTTGCTAAATAATCTAATTTAAATCCAGGTCAACAGCAATCACAAGAATATCAGCATATCCATAATATCCAGAACAGAAGGTAAAATTGGACTTTATTATTTCATTTGTTAAATACAAAGTTAACAGTTGTACTCTGCTAAAGATGATAAGCGCTTCTAATTGGTGATCCATATAGCAGTCAACACGGCTCAGGTTTTTCTACAATGTGTAGAAAAGACAACATCAGGGTCCAGTGCTGGAAGTACAATTACTGATGTACTGTACTGAAGTGCAATTTTGAAGTACTTTACTTGAGTATTTTCATTTTATGCTACTCTACACTTCTACTCCAATACATTTCAGAGGGAAATACATTTTACTCCACTACATGTATATGACACTCATATAAACCCATATAAAGTATCTAAAATTAGCTATGACAAATGAAGTAATTAGATTATATCCAACAATATAATATAATATAATATAATATAACACTCAATGGAGAATTCCTTCATTATGAATACATTTTGTTGATAATACTGTACTTTTACTTTAGGCACATGTTCAATGTGGGAGTTTTAATTGTATTTGAGTATTTTTAGATGATAGTATTTCTATCTTTACTTAAGTAAATTATGTGAATACTTCATCCGACACTAAGTGGCAGGTTGGTTTGACCTTTAAGTTTCGGGTTGTTGTAAAAAAGGTCAAAATATAATGTCCATTATTAATCTGGTATGGGGGTCTTTATGCCACAGTGTGTTCAAGTCTTCTATCCTGCTGTATCAGAAACCTACTGTCTTCTTCATACTTGTGAGCAAAACCACGCAGCGCGGCCCTGCAAAGCATTTCCTTCCCCTTACTCATTCATTAAAATAGCTCCCAGCCACCCCAAACTCTCTCCAGATCAGATCAAAGACGAAGCATGGCAGAATTGCACCATCTGTCCATAACCAAAGGACAATCCACTCCAAGAGCCAAAGCCAATGGATACAACTATAGCCATGCCAACAAGAATCACTGAGATATTCTTCTACCGTCATGTGGTAGTGAAATGTTTATGGTAGCTATTTTTCCTTTCCAGGCAAACAATTGATCACGGTGGTAGGATCATCTGTTAGGTCTTCAAGTACAGGCCTTTCATTTTTGTTGGTGTGCAATTACCACGCTAACTTTTTTGTAGATCTATCAAGAGTTCACATCAGGCCTCTGCTCTGAAAAGGTATGCATACTCCATTAGAGGTCATCTACGGTGGTACACTTCACTGAGGCATCAACGCATCTTATAGCAGACTAAACTTGTGTTACACCTACGCTGAAAACTCATTCACTCCTTCCCTGCAGGGATTCATATGTGGTTGCTTTCAGATTCCTGTCCTCAAAGTAATGTACAGTGCCTTCTGATGAATAAATATTACGGTTTAAATCTGAAAGGTGGATATTTGGGGTCTTATAGACTGGAGGCTCAAACCTGGACCCACGATCCACTTCATCTGACACAAAGCTCACATTTCCATCATCAGAGGTTATAACAGCCGCCTCTCACCGCTGTGCCCGCTTTCGATTCCCATTTTCCATCTAAATCAAAAAAGGTGTGATGGGAAAGCAAAGGGGCATGGCCTTCAATTACCTTTTTGTTCACCTGAGAGGTCAAAATGAAAGATGCAGGCAGCTCAGTTCACTCCAGCACACTGACATACATTACATTACACTGAGCTCGCTCTCTCGCTCTCTCTCTCTCTCTCTCTCTCTCTCTGTGGATTCACCCAGAATGCATTAATCTATAAAATGGACTACAATAACCGCCATGAATATTGACCAGAGTGGGCGAGTGACTGGGCAAACAAGGTTATATGGACATAATAATTAAGGTATCGGCTGTGGAGCTATAGATCGGGACAGCAGCTGGCGTTATTTCTCCATGTAGCCTATCAGAGGATCAGCTTCCCCTTTGATAAGTCGTCTGAGAGGTTGATCTATTTTTTTGATATATAAATATATATATGTATATATAGGCTATATATATAATTCAATTTATTTAGTGTTAAAAAGATCAGAGATAAATTCATAGGCCTACATTGCACATGAAAACAAGAAAGGGCTTTCCAATGTCATTTGTGGCTGTTATTATTCAGCCTGTTTGTCTAAATGCTGCCTTTAATGGGAGCAATAAAGCAGACACAAATAGCAATAATAATTATTAAAAAAACAATGTGTTTGATTTTGGCCTACCTGCTTACGATTGCCTGTCTTCAGTGGGTTGCCTGTGTTTGCAAAGATCATCCTGGAGGTTACAGATAGGCTAAATTTTATTTCTCAAAAAAAAATATATATATATATATATCGCAACGACGAGAAACTAGAGACGGATTTCCAAGCGGTGAAAGGAGCCTATAAAATGTTGCCGGTCGGGTTAAAACATCCGCATACTGAACGGGCTGGTTAACAGAAATAAAACCTCGGTCCTGCATAGATATGACACATCTAAACAGTCAGATGCACACCAGGCGATGGACCAACCCTCCGCTCCGGTTCATTGATCTACGACGTCCTGCTGCAGACCGCTCGGCAGTCCCACCTACTACAGACCAAACCATCTCCGCCTCTGCAGGGTGTTTGACATCAAATAAACTGCGTGGCCGCCTCATAAAAACTCGTACTGGCGGTTTGTTTTGTAACAAAGGCACGTCGAGACATCTGGTGTGGGTGGCTCAATTTTTAATCGGATACAAAATGCTTTGTGGTTTGATTTGCAGGCGAACAATCAGTTGGGCTGAACACTCGTCGCCTTTCATGTTGTTGCCGTCCGCACATACCAAGCATTCTTCACCCCCACCTCCTCCAACCACACACACGAACACACACACACACACACACACACACACCCTCTTCCTCTTCCTACCCTTCCCCCCTTCTAACACGCTACATGTCAGAGAATAAGGATGCAATGAAATGTAAGCAGGGACTGGCCTGGGCTGGAGGTCACAGCCTCCCTATATACGCCCAACTATGGGAGAGAGCGGATAAATGAACAAGGACTGAAAATAAATATCTGGAAACAACATACATATATGCTATATAAAATAAACTTTCTTTCTGAAATGCAGTCATGTCATGTCAGTGTAGGCTCTAGAAGGCCAAGTTACTATATGTGGATTAAGTCACAGAATATTGACTCCTACATGAACTTATAAATCAAGAGAACCTTTAATTTTTTCACTTTTGAAAAGATTGATTTGCTTACATGCAGTTTATAAAAGTGTAAACTAAGCATTTTCACATGTGGCACACAAATAACTCTGAATGGTGAAAAATAAGGAACTGTGGTTTTATAGCTCATGTTCAAATGCTTCCAGTGTTTGTTGTCAAAGTAAAATAGTTAAAATAATAATTTGGCCTCTTTCTACATTTTTGAGCTCCTGCGTTTGACCTGTAGGACCCTTTACGTTCATCAGGCATGGGCTTTAATAAAGCTTTGAGCTGTGGCATCCAGATTTAGGAACAGCCTCCCTCATTACACCAGGTCCACCCCCTCAATGGAGTCAATCAAAAGCCAAACCACCTCTGTTCTTTGTGTTTTACTTGGCTCTGTTTAAGTTTAACTTTGTAAGTTTTTCGGTCTTTTTCTTGGTTGTTTTGATTATTGAACCATAGCAACTATTGAGGACATTGAGATCATGTCTTCTGATTTTTTATTTATTTTTTTAGATTAGACTACAATGAATTGTGACTATTTTACAGATTGACCAATATGTTTAGACTTGATATACCTTTATTTGAATATACAATAATAATAATATGTAATGGCCAACACAAATAAATTAATCAAGGATATTAGTATCTACACAAAACCTTACTCTGCCGAATATAACCATCTTTTGATCTTTTGACCCATGAAAGATAAAAGTGAACACGCCTATGAATCTGACCAAAGATTTGATACCAACTTTCTAGACCTGACAGTTTTCAGTACTACAGACACGTTTGAGTTGGTAAATCAGAAGTCCTACAAAGACCCGGTTTCTCTACACCAGAAACATATTCCTGGCTGTGTGCAAATGGATTTGAAAGTATTTTGAATTTAAAATGTACAGAAAATATTATTTAACAGTGAAATAAATGAATAATTATAAAATATGCTAAATGTGCAATGGAGGGACATTGACTCAGGCCCTGACTGTGTGCACTTTTGTGCAATTATGTGTCTTTTTAAAAATGCAAATAAAATTTACTTGGCATAATATGTTACTATAAAGTAACACAACATTATCATACAATTCATTAACCCCTCAAATGTCACTAAGCCACTCTTCTGTAAGTGTGCTGTGCAGCCAAACTTTTCTCAAACACTTTATTTTAGACTGTAGTGGAGATTACAATATATCCAAATATACTAAATATGTTGTCTGTATTTTGTGGGAAGCTTGTTTCAAACGATGCATGGGTCACGTTGAAGAGTTCCATTTGATGGACATCTACATACAAAATATACATACATATATAAAATAAAATATGGCATCTTGACTATGAATATTTCCCTAAACATTATAAAGCTTCAATGTAGAGCTCGAACACACAGGTTCAAGAAATGTGTGATACCGTCAGACAGAGTGGAGTAAGATGATATTTCCAGCCTTAAATCTACTCAGGAGAAAAAACTATTTGTTACCATAAGGGGTAACAAATATGAATGAATAAAAGTGTCATTGTAAGCCTTTGTTTTACCTTTTGTATCTAAAGTATTTGACCTGGATCTTTTTGTCATGTATTTTCCATGTAAAAGCCTCTGGGAAACAGACATAAAATTAAGTGTGATGTTATACATTCCTTTTTGAAGTATTTTTGGTGCATGGGGTGGGGGTGATGTGCAACAAAGGTGCCCAGGAAAATTAAACCACAGACTTCAAAGTATTGTATGATGTGCATCTTAACAACTATAAACAACATGTATATAAATTCAGACAACTCAAGTGGACAGATTTGTAAAGATGCAGCAAATAAACAACATATGTTGACCCACAGGTGTTGGAACTAGCTGTCTAGGTACACATTTGCCTTTCACATGTATCTAATTGCTCTCAATTTATATTCACATACTTAACGGCACATAGCAGTGCTTGCCACTAGCAGCCATCCTGCTGCAGGTCCTGCTGGAGATTTATAAAGCGAAGCTAAATCCAAATCCCATCAGGGTGCAGGGAAGCTCTTAAAGCATCAAATTTCTCTCCCTTATTTCCTCTGCTGGTAGGATTAAGGTTTCATGCTGGTGTCGTGTTACAAGCTACATCTGATGTTCCTTGAAAAGTCCAATCATTGCCATCTGAATGATCAGCTGCGATACTGTTTGTAGTTGATTTTGTTATTCTTTCTTGTTGTTAGTTTGGTAGTTATTAATCTATTAATTCATTACATCAAATGTGCTATAAACTGGCCTTTTGGTGACAGGTGAGATTTCATACAGGATTTAAATCTAAATCAACTATACTTACTTACAACTTTTTTATTTTTGACCTGCTCTGCTTCAAATATATCAAATATCCAAGTGCTCAATTAATCTGTAGCCTTTGTCTCATTTATCCATCATTTTTCTGGGTAATTTATCGCAGAGCTTTAGATGTGAATTCTGCCTGTTTGGGGTTTCAAATTGAACTACTGGAAAGTTGTCAATCAATCGCAAGCAAAGGTGAAGTCAATGAGATAACTTGGCCCACTTCGAAGGGAAAAAATGGTTTGTTTCCTGTATTGTCTTGACTGGTCAAGCTTATTTCAGATTCTTTAATGGTGAATGTATACCTGCTAACGTGCCATTATTGTGCCATTATAGAAGATTGCATTCAAACTGTTTAAGATAAAAACTGAAGCAACAACATAAGGGATTTATACCTTACTAGCATAGATTAACTCAGGCTGCATCTCAAAGGCTTTTTAACTCATCATAAGGATGCACATCCTGGTTAAGACTGCTGAGTGTATTGAATTGTGTCGAGGTAGCAAGAGGTCCTGAGGGGGTGGAGAAGGAGGGAGTGAAGAATGTGGATGATTATCTGGCCCTTCCTCATCCACTGAGGAATTAAGGAATTTGAGATTTTGATGGCCTCAGCATGACACCGACCTGCCTGGCTGCCCAGCGTGGCCAGTAACATTGCTGGGTGAGATTGTGTGAGTCGTTCTGCTGGACTGATTGTCCAGCACGAATACATGAAACCAAACAGAGAAGCTTTTTCACAACCCCAGTGTTGGTGTGGTTTGGGTCAGAGTTTGTGGCTCCTCAGGGAATAATGAAATGCTTGGATGTTGAAATATGAGAAACCACACAAATATCACGGTCACTTTCATTCTTTTTAGTATTAAAAGAGAAGATGTAGTGTGTCAGTGTTGTGTTTTTATCAAGATGACGCCAGTGTTGTATGTGCTAAAAGGCAAGGTCAGGGTGCATCTTTACATTCAATTTAATTTGAAAATAAATAACTAATTACCTAAATTATATGATTTAAAAATTATGATGACATGTAACGTTAGTTTTACCACCAGTCTCTTAAAAATCCACTTACACACTTTTGAAAAGAAAGCAAATTTTATGTATCTATATACTGTATAAAGGTGTTTTCACTTTAGACATGCAGTACATACTCTCAATAGCAGGTACAAAGATGAAAGCATGTTTGGCAAAAAGAAGTAAATTAGCAGACATAAACCCAACATAAGCATACAACCTTAAGGGAAGGTCCAGATTTGATATTTTCCAAGAACACCAATATAAATATGAAGATAAAATGTAAACAGCACAGACTATTTTACTTTCAGAAGCTGTTTATGTAAAAACACTTTCATTTCTTAAAAAAACATCATCCATTTAAAAATATTCCCACAGTCAAAATTGTAAATATTGCTCAGCTCAATGATATGAAACTGTACTTTTTAAAAACACTTTTTTTTTTATTTAACCTTTATTCAACCAGGGGAGGATCCAGTGAGATAAATTTCTTTTTCAAGCGTGCCCTGGTCAAGAAAGGCAGCAGGACAGCAAGTCTGACAGTACAGACATAAAACGACAATAATACAATCAAAACATCTACCATTTTACATATGCAACAGCAACAGCACCTGTAAAAACCAGCCTTCATGCAAATATAATACTCTATGGAATGCCCGCTCATTTAAAACATTTACATTCATCTTTAAAAACCTCTGTAATAAAGAATTTGTACTTCACAAGCGCCTATTTGCAGAGAACTGACAGGCAGAAGCAGTGATATAATAATTCACTGGGGTGGTGATAGTGCAGTGGATAAGATGCCTGCCTTTGGAGTGCGAGACCCAGGTTCAATCCCCCACTGTGATACATCTATCAATGTGTCCCTCACCAAGACACTTAACCCCTAGTTGCTCCAGAGCTCTGATGCAATTGTAAGTTGCTTTGGATAAAAGCGTCAACTAAATTAATAAATGTAAGTAGCTTAGTGTTAATCTTTCAAATAGAATTTGGTATAATTTTACTGTAGATTAGACATACAAGGGTCAGTTACATCAATTACATACCCAAGAGAG